CTTAGTCTCTTGTACCGGTGTTCATATGGCACGCCTCGTAAACGGGGGATGAGCACTGTGGCAACATGCTATACCCGCTCTATCCTTCGCGCCGCACCTCGGGTGAGTGGAAGGTAGGCAAGTTAGTCGTACTCTAATACTGGTCTGAAGATAGAAGAGAAGAGGCGGACGGCAACCTCTTCGGACCAAGTGCAGAAGTTGCGTTGGAGCGCGCAGATCATGCGCAGTCCGTTTTGATAAAGCCTGTTGGTATTTTCAGTGGATTTCAAATCGCAGCGTCAGAGTACGCCGATATCTTTCACGGATGGCGATGGGAGTAAATGTTAGCCGAACAGATTTTAGATGCAGTCGTTACCAATCTTGCCCATCCTGTTGTCTCAAAGAGGATGGAGGCAATCAACTAGAACAGATTATTGGCCTTGAAGCAGTGTGGTTTGTCAACACCGCCCACGAATAATCAACCTACTGAGTACATCCCATAGTTGGACAGAAGTGGTCGATATGGGTGGAATGATAGATGACATTTAACACAACTGCTCCAAGGTTTCCGATCACCTGGAACACGGCATTCCGCTTTACAGCCTCGAAAGCTGTGCATTTGGAGATCCTGTTTTTGGGTTCATCCGGAAATTCCTACAGAATTTGCCATGGTAGGTTAACATATGGCGCACGCTGTACGATCGGATTCATGCTTCATGTAGAGTTCCACTAAGATCAACACTGGAGCCACGTCTGTTTCTCGTGTTTAGTAATGGGCTTACGCGTCAACTCATCACAGATTTATCCTTTCCGCTGATAATTTTAAGATATGGGGGTGGTCACAAAAAGGGTGTACGATGTACTTTAACAAGATCTTAGCATTGTATATTATTCGTTATTCAACAAACTGCTCTAGGTTAGTTCGCCCAATCCAAGATGGACTACTTTCCTTATTAGCCAAAAATCAAATTCCATCTCGGAAGTCATGACCTACAGGCAGTTACACTGTGGTGCAAGCTTAGGGTATTAGTCCAGTGTGATGTATGCTGCTGAGAACAATCTAAGAAGGCGTTTTAGACTGGGAACCAAGACGCTGGCACGCTGCGGATATCATTTGGATGGTTTTAACTGTCTGTCATCACTTGTCTAAAACATACAGGTGACCTAGTATGGAATATGCTATACGGATCTGTCACCACCGGCACAAGAAATATCTCGTAATGCTCAAAACTCCGTGGCGAAGAGCCAACAAGCACATCGAAGGATGCTTTCACTTTCTATATCAAATCAGACTGGAAAACCTAAGCTTGTAAAGCGGACCTAATCGGCGCCTACTTGGCAACCCAATAAGGAAGTAGCAGATTTTGAGGAACCCCAACCATGTCTGCAAGCACCCACTGCAACTCCCTCAAAACATCATGAAGTTTTCCATGTACAACGGTTTGCATGAAATTGCCGGGATGTATACGTGTTTCGCGTCTGCTTGTCAAGAAACGCCCTGTCAAATCTCTTGGTTTCCGCACCCAATTTAACCGGGTTCATTAAGGTTTTCAATAACCCACATTACAAAATATCGCCTGTGTACGTGGAGAGATGATATAGTGTGACAATGATCACATAACCAGAATTAACCTTCACAATCGAGGTCTGCTGATTCAGGCATGCATCTGTGGCAGCTATAGCCCCATAGCATTTACCCCAACAGTCGACGTCTTTCAAGGAGCTGTTTTATCATCATTATTGTTCTCTACGTACGTTAGCTCTATAAGTGCCCCAGAAGAAACTATTCTATTAAGCTATAGAGATGACGTTATCACTGAGGTAAAACCACAAAAGCATGGCCTTCACAATCGAACTGCAAAGTCATTTTGACTAATCAGTGAAACCGTCAAACTCCCGCTGCTTTAGATTAAACGCGTCCAATTGCAATGACACGCTTTTATCACTAAATAAAGCAGCTCGTTACCGAGAACTTGTCAAGGAATATCCCAAAAATTAGACGATACTTGACCGTTCGAGTTTCTATACGTTAGTGAAGCATCATGGATTTGCACTGAGCCACGAGTTATCGTGGTCACTACAAGTGAATCGAACATTAACCAAAGTCAAGCAACTTCGTTTTACGTCACTCGATTGTGATTATCATGCTTAGCATACAATTTGGTTCCGCAGTTTATCAATGCGCACATTCAACTACACTAGACTTATTGGTCTTTTGTGATATTTCCATACCTACTGTGTAAGCATTGCAAGCTGCTTGACCAGTTACTGAGGTACTTATCTCGCTAGAGTGGTATTCCAAGAGCAACTTCGGGAAAAACAATTATATCGAAGCACGTTACTTTATGCACTAAGCTTTCTACCGTAATAAGCGCTGACATTAGCCACCCCCTACATACTACACTTTATAATTGCATATGTACCACGTCAACCAGAAAAAACTACACAGTTATATATGCCCGCACAAAAGCTTATGATTCGTCGATCATTCCATTTTCAGCCGGATTCATATTTGACCAAAACGTTATTATTTAAACACGGATGGTATATGCTGCCAGTGAGGTTAGCTTTTGCATCGAGCTTTTTCATCGCTGTTGTTCGGTCTCTTTTGAATTGCTTTTCGGTTGTCGAATAGCACGTGTAGCAATGCTGAATAGCGCTTTCTTCACTGCTGCATAAAAGCGCATTCTTAACTTGACTATGGCGAGTACATAAAGGCGATTTTCCTTTTCTCGCTCTTTTGCCATCGTTTTGCTACTTATTTTGTCCATTCTATATGATATTTAGATAGTGGTCCCTTTACCATTGGCAGACTTTTGTTCATTGAATTTTAGTAAAATAATTATTGCTCTTATCATCATTTATGTCTATGGAAAGAAGTGTGTGCGAACGTCTAAAATTCACTCAAAGGGAACATAAACCATCAGGATTAACGACAGTCTGTCAATTAGAAATATGAAACAATTAGATCCCTTTAGTAATTTGAATAAAGCCATAAGAAGACGAACACTGGCAGATGTCAACATTTCGTATTGTCTCTTCAGTGCCCTGGGCGTAGGGGTGTCACGCCTGCCCCACTACCCTGTTCTAACTTGTTCCGGTCTCACCCTACCTGTCGTCTTATATATTTTCATGTTATTGTGTTGGCACTGAAGAGACAATACGAAATGTTGACATCTGCAATGGTCGTCTTCTTATGGCTTTTTTCAATTGGAAATATGTAAATTATCACATCCAAGCAGTCTGTAGATACAATTTATGGAATTTGTTCCACCATTTCCTCTAAGCTTTCCAGCGATTTCTTGCCATTCAGTGGAATTGAGAGGTAAATATCGAAAGACAAATAATCTTTTTTTAATGTTGGCATACCTGTGACTTCTGTGTTGGTCTCTTCTCGATTTAATACTATGGGTCTCAAAAGGTTTTTTAAAGCAAGGCCCTATCCATGCGAGAACATGAAAGCAACATTTTGGAGCACACGTTTAGGACACAGACAGTGTATGGGGTATGTGAAAGGGGGAAGAGAAAATATTACATTTATAATTGGTAAGGCTCAGTTGCATAAGCAGCGGGCTAGTTGGCACAAGCCACTAGCAGTCATGGGTTAGATCCTCACTAGAGGACCGAAGGATGCGCACCACTGACGAGCCCCAATAGGGCGAAACGGCCGTCTGGTGCTTTTCCGGAGAGGTAGTTGACTTATCCGAATTGTCAGCTGACTGCGACGAACAAAAATACTGGTAAGGAATGTCTCTGAATAATCGGTTGGTTATATAACTGTGTTTTCCTAGTGCAATAGAAACACCTACTTAGATACGGTTACAAAAATATGTATATTTATATATATACATATTATATATATATTATTTATATTTATGAAAATTGTGATAACCTTTGAAATAAAATGAAAATGCCGTTGGTGTTGCTTGAATCCTGTAAAAATCATCTCGTCGGTGTTGGAGTAGTTGCATGTTTCTAAGTACTAAACATACTTTAATTCTGCAACTTTGCTCATAAGCGAAGACAGGACTGAGTTCGAACTAAAGCATTACAAACTAAAAGGTAAAAGTAGGATTACAAATTTGATTGCTGTTCACGTTTATTTTAAATTTCGTAAAAAATATATTTGCTTTTGCTCTTGACTAGAATTGAGAGGCAAGGTTTGGGGAAATGCATCAGTATTACACGATGCTATAACGTAAGCTGAGGACCCAAGGTATTTATTTGGAATCCTGTTCAAACTCATGAAAAAATACTTTCTATCTATTAATACTAGGATTTTAATTCGAAATCTAGATGCTTAACTAGTTGAAGTTAAAAAGATCTACATCCTGAGGCTAAGCGATAGTCTGAGATCATCGTGCCAGTGAATATTTTAGGATCCAATTTAATAAATTTCTCAGCGCGCTCCATATACGCCTACATTAATCAGGAATGTTTATCTATTTCTAAAAGACAAAAATGAAGCGCTATGCTGCGGAGATGTATACAAATTTTAGACATAAAGTTTGGTGGACTAACGGTAAGGCGCTTACTCCATAATATTTTCGCCCGTTTGACAATATATTATGAATTTATGGAAATAGCAGGACAGAACTGAAATAAGTAAGCTTGTTTGTGACCTCATGTTAATTGCATTGCTACCCGGATTTTCAATGTAAAAAGCTGTGTATTCTGCGAGCGTCGATCATTGCTCGATCTTTGAAAGTATGCTGGGTATGAACGGTAATCTTATGCATCGATCTTAACCACAGCTCACACATTATGCATCAATCAAACGCAGGCAAATTTGTAGTCCAGTAGCCCGTCTACAAAAGCGCCCTTCTCCCATGCCTATAGTTGTGCCTCTGGTCAAATGCCTTGACCTAATTTAAACCAATCACATTGCATTCTGTTGAGTATTTCTCGTGAGGAATAGGGAGAATAGTCTCAATTAGTGGGACATATAAACCATAAACAAGTAGCTTAGACGGGCTTGCCAAACTAACACCAGCACTGGCTACACGACATTTTGAGACCGTATGTCTTCCTTGCCATCATATTCCGGACCGAAGTATCTCCGCAGGACATCCGTTACTCCAAACGCAGCCATTTATTCTCGAGCTGCCACCGAGATCGAAAGAGGTTCCACCCCAACAAATGATAATCGGTCTTCGTCCCAAGAGTCCACTTTTAATCCAGCGGGTAAATTACACCGCATGTCTACCTTATTCATTACGGAAACGTCCCGAACAAAGCAGGTACTTAAGGCAGCGTTTGAAGACACAGCAAGAACTGAATACCGTAAATTAAAATACGAAAATGAGCACTTGTTAGCTGAATGGAAGCAACTACGTAAATTTATTGAACAACTGCAAATCGATTACACATCCACTAAACAATTAGACCCGCTACGTCGGTACAAACAACTTCAAGCGATAGCTAAGAGGACCGTCATGCACCTACGCTTGATGGAAATCGGAAGTGTAACACGTGACCCCTTGATTCCAGCTGCCTCCATTCCTGGAAGTGTAGTTCAAAGCGAAACGAAAGAGCGTGAAATGGAAAAGCGAATCATGCAACTGTGTGATAGTAAGCATTACATTTTGTGCAGTAGTATAGTCTGTCTGTCGGTTAGCAATAATAAAGGTTGTCTAATATTGCGGTCATTCGCATTTGCTGTACAGTTAGCTTACAAGTAGTGATGGTAAAGAATTCAATCCGAAATTAACGAAATAGTAAAAGTGACTACGTGTTAAGTTTTCGTGATTTTGCGTAACAAGTTTTAAAGCTTATTTGAATGCATTTCAAATGCTTATTTTAATTATATATATCCGATATTCGGACTTGTGTTAAAACCAGTAGTAGGTGTAATTAAGTTACATAAACTCGGCTTAGTATCATCATCAGTATTAAAACCATAGTGAATAGTCTGTTGTTAGGAGACAATAATCAACAGAACTTTGTTTTCTGAGGTATTTACATGCAAATAGCTTGTTTTATTAAAGTGCTATTAACCGTTCAAAGATTGTATAGTCCAGCAAATCACAGTTACTTAGAAGTTCAAGTAGATGATGTCGTTTCTGATTCTGCCGTCGGCCACTTCCGTCTAACCACTTTGTAACATAATCGGGTTGGTGGCTTTCGACCGGTGTTGACGGAAGTCATGCTGCTCTACTGCCAATGGATCTAGTGCCAGTGGATCTTTACAGCTTCATCGATGATCGCTTCCAACACCTTCGCAAACAAGGAAGAAGAGACACTGGGTGACAGTTTACAAGAGCTAATCCGCTACCGTCTTTAAAAGTTTAAGTAATAATTACATACTTCCACATGATGGAAATTTGTCGCTTATTAAAACATTTTGGTTAAAACTGTGACAGGAGCTATGCTAGCTTTCCGGTCGCAGCCTTCAGAGTCTTCTAGTGGATGTTGTCCACTCACGGTAAGCTATGGTTTCACAATGAGAGTAAATTTCTTAGCACAGTTGCTGGGTTGAAAATAACATATGTAAACCTTGTAGTCCGTAAAGTGAATGTGGGTATATGACCGGTGGAGAATGCGGGTTCGACATCCGGGGTGTATTGTAGCTACAGTGCATTGAATGATTGCGTGGGCTTTTCACCCTACCTCCGAGTGAACATGACAACCAGTGGATGTTTCCGGTTTACATAGGTGAAAACCATCACTTTGTACGCGCGACATGTTTAGAATGTACGAAAGTTTTAAATTGCTTTTTGAAGCAGTAAAACTATTTGTATCAAAATCCGGCGTCTTCGAATAGTACACATAAGTTGACTGGACTTGTAGTAAAAAGCATCTAGACAGCAGTAAGGATAGAGGTTAAAAGTGTGAAACATTGCATGCTATTTATTCCAAATTGCGGAAAGCATTAGATAGCAGCTGCTTAGTGAACACACAGTAACGGCGAGTTAGTTCACATTTGATAACAATATTTCAAATGCTCCTAATCAATGGTTCGTTAAACGTAATTCTAATTATGAGCATGAAATTAGTGAGATCATCCACCTTATTAAGAACAGATAATGATAAATCAGTCAGGTAGTTTCCTTGGATGCGCTCTGTTGAAAATTTGCTGGGTCCAACGGAAGCCCATTTTCCACATACGGAACAAATGAGTGTAATCAAGTGGACACATAATACTAATACATAGCATGATAAATTCATGTCGAGACCACCTATTCTATGAAGACTATATCTGTGAAGGTCCGTTAAGATTATGGGAACAAAAGCTGTTCATGGCACCAGGCAACGCAAATACCAGCGCCCGTTGGTTCAGACCCTCTACCCCAAGGAGCTAATGAACTTTGTTCTTCGGACCACCGAAATGACCCCCTGGAAAACTGGGTGTGAACAGACAGGCGCAAGTTAGGCCAACCGACCACTAATATGAGTGTTGAGAGTGCGACAACGACGATCGATAGTATTTTATGGCGACCCACCGGTATTCTGTTGACTAGGCCAAATCAGGTTACTGCGAAGAATGGTTGCAGTTTCGGTACAGTGACTGAGCGCTGGATCACGGTGGAGCATGACCCTCGGTGACATCTAAGCGACTGGAGTTACAATACATGGCTGTCGCTCATAACATGGTGATTCTTCTATTGTGTGGTCAGTGCGGTTTAAACGCTGTAGAAACGGCCCGACAATACAAAATCATGAACAGAAGAATGCGGTACGTAAGTGGCCGTTAGCTTCTGAAACTGGTGTACAAATTTGAAAAAAGTGGTAGTGTTTGCAACACCATGAAAATTGGTCGGCATCGCTCCACTACGGGAGAGTTTTGGCTTGCGAAGTTATCCGGTAAGTAACCGAATATCCCAAGTCAGCATAATTAAAATCGCGCTGCATTGTGACACCACCAGTTACACTGTTCAGCGAATTTGGAAGGGAAGCAAATGTCGTTGGTATGCTGAGCATCAAGTACAATATATGAGCCCTTACAATCTGGAGAAACGGCATTCATTTAGCTGCTGGTTCTCGGATCACATTGATATTCATTCCACTATGTTTACCGATGATTCTGTGTTCCATTTGAATGGAATCCAGAGGCAATATGACTGGGCAGTACCTAATCCATGACGTTACCGTGCTTTACGTACTCAACATAGCTCAACTGTAATGGTATTGGGCTGAAATAACTGGTCAAAAATTCGTGGACCCATTTCTCTTTTCCAGCGATGCTACCGGTAGATTGTATTTGTACCCTACTAATTCCATGCCTCTCGCAGCATCATCTTACAAGCAAATGTTGTAGACATGCGTACTTCTGCAGTCGGAGGCCGTTGGGTTATGCAATACCGCTTGGTGGTAACATGATGGCGTACTCGCACATCGTGTCCAAATGGTTCGTGATTTTTTGAGCGGGATTTTCAGCCACCGATCGATCGCTCGGAGAGGACCGATGGAGTGAACCGCCCGGTCACCCGATTTGAAACTTTCGGATTTTTGCATACAGTATCATTTGAAACAAAGTGCTTATAAAACAAGGCCAAATTCATTGGAACAAGTGGAAGATAACATCGTGAACGAAGGTTGCGACATCGCTGCGACATCACCGATAACTGTCTTAAACGATTTCTAAAATGCAAGCAGGACGCCGGTGGCGACTAAAAATCCACTACGTTAATATTTACATCACCGTCTAAGCTCGTCCACCTACGTATACGTAGCCAACCACACGTGTTCACTGTCATTCGGAAATCAGCCCAGCGTTAGGATTAAACTAACGGTTGCATAGTACCATCTGCTTTCGAGGGCAAGGGTGATGTCTCGTATTAACAGCATTAGCTGATTTGAGTTAGAAGTTTTATGCAGTCTTCACTAAAGAGAAAATGTTTAAGGACATGCTAATATGATTACGTATTTGTAGTTGGCAATGAAAAAAATTTGAGCCATTTTGAGTGACTTTTATTTGCTGCCCAATCTTGAGCTGATAAAATCCTGGAATGCATAGCAGACGCATGCCATTTTTGTTTAGTATTTGTTTGATGTGATGTATAATCCAGAGATTTTAGGCCATTTTCCCCATATACCTCAGACTCAGCACGATTAGTTTTCATGCAGTACAAATGAACGGAATTGAATGGCCACAATTCAGTTGCTGGAAAGTACAATCAAGGTTGCATAATTTAGCAATGCTAGTATTAACATAATGTGAATTTATTTCTCATCCACATTAGTATCATCGTACCGAATTTTCATTTTGAGCATTAGGCGCACTACGGACATCTAAGCATTTATGACTAGGCTGTAATTTGTTCAGTTATTTCATAAACTCTACAACACTGCTTTGATTTAGCTACAGAAAAGTTCGAGGTATTATTTCCAAACACCTGGATGGTGACATAATTAAAGTGCGTGAACAGTACTTTGAGAAATTATGGTACAGCGAGGCAAAATTGTTGCTCACTATTCTATAATCTTTTTTTTGTCAAATCAAATATCCACACCACACTAAAAGAATAAAAAGATGCTGCATAATACTCCTATGTCTTATTAAAGTAACTGCATCTCTCTCTTCCCCATTTTATAATTTGGGTATTTTTGCTCTTAGCGTGATTGAATCCTGTCGCAAAAAACAAGTGCAACATCTTCAATTAATTTTACAGATCTCTAATGATTTCTGCTACTGGTGAGCAATGGTTGAAAATCAGTTAAATGATATTTTTCTGTTGCTACTACTAGACACAAGTACTCGCGAAAATACAGGTATATTTGTGCGTCAACTCTACATATGCAGGCCGCAGTGGTCCGGTTTCACTTGATCATTTTAGATCGGATATTTTACACACAGTTACGACCAAATACACCAATTTTGCTGAATATGTCATAAAAGCAACGTACAAATTTTGATATGGGCCAGGGGACCTGATGTACAAATGTTAATTGCAAACGGGGTAGCGTTTACTTTTTTGGTTATTCGCTTGTAATGAATGTGTCTCCGGGTGAACTGTCGAACATCAAAAATAATGATGATTAATGCATTTATATTTAGCAGTTTCTAGAGACGTCTTGATTTAGGAGGCACCTAAGGTCTGCAAGCTTTAAACATTAGTATCTTAAAGATGAACTCATGTATAAGTTAAACGGAGTAACACAACAAACCACGTTACAAATGGGACTAAAAGAAAAAGGGATAACAACCGTAGCTTAAACATAAGCTTTTAAGTACGCAGTTTTCATCACGAAAACCAAGATTTGGTGCGACAGGATTCTCTAGCTGATATACAGAATATTAAGGACCTCAAATACTAAGTAAAATAACAATCAATGTTTGCCTTATCAACAGAATAGGAATGCATTTATTAAAATTTGTTGTGACCTGTCTGCGTTGACTTATGTGTTTCATAGATGTAAATGTAGCCGAATCCTTTGTATGCGAAGAGCGAGACGGTTGGAAAAATGACCGCCAACTAAGATCAAACTTACTGTCAGGCACTCAACCAAAGCAAAAAGCAAGATATATATAAAAATATATTAATATATATAGAAGCCTTACCAGAATGATAGTACAACATTAATGTAATCACATTATGATGTTCACTTTGGAATAAGTAGTAGAAATTTAT